AGAGCCAAAAGGCGTAACCTCATTATTAGTGCATCATGGAGTCAGAGTCCCAGGCAAAATTCCCATTTTCTCATTTATAAGTTGTCCAACTGCTTTGATCATTTACTGCCTCTTTAAAGGGTTAAGTTTTTTAGCAGAGTCCTTTACCCTGAAGGGCATCTGAGTCAAAGCTTAAGGGGACACATTATTCTTACAGACACCAATATTACATTCCGTTTCCCCCTTTCGAAACCTATTTGGTGGCTTCCTTCCCCACAGCAGCAACAATCTCACCTTTCTTCCTTTGCCATTAATTTCAGTATAAACCCTCCCTGCTACAGATACAAAGTGTGGCCCCAGGATTCAGCCAGCAGGCTAGTCCATGTTTAGCTGGTAGTAAAATAAGACATGCAGGGTCTTTTCCCAATGATAAGGGATCAGATTAGATTAGTGTAGAGAAAGTGGGCTATTCTGCCCTCTAGGCAGCAAAACAGTTATGACAGCCCCAGGTGCAGACGTAATCCATTCCATGGATCTCTATGGGACTTTTGCATCTCATTTCCAACTAATCATCATTATTGTGGAATAATACCAACCTTTGAGGATCTTCTTTCTACCCTAGCCCAGGAACTACTACTAGGTTTAGCATTGAAATGGGAAATTGCGGTTGAGTAGGGAACATCTCTAAGTTACCTCCTTAAATTAACACCTCCCTACACACATCAAGTACTGATGATTGCACCCAGGATATTCACAGTGAGCTACAGCCCTTTTTGTTTATTTGTATTTTGAGACTGGTTCTCACTATGTTGTGAAGTTGCCCAGGGGGACCCAGGTTGGGATCCTCTTACCTCAAGCCTCTCAGAGTGCTGAGAATTACAAGTGTACACCACCATGCTGGGTTTGAGTATTTTTTTAAATTGTAATTGGCCTCAAATGTGTAGCCCATTTGTCAAAAGTGACAGTTGCTCAGGTTGCTTTGGTTTGAACTCCACCTGCAGGCCAGAGAGAGTGAAGTGCTGCCAGAGGAGTTTGTGAACTTTAACTTTTGCTAACAAGCACCCAAGTGATTGAATTTTTATCAGCCCTGCCATCAGTTTGCAGTTCCCTTCTAATCCAATTTGTTAGCTCCTTAGATTCAGGTTCTGTCACTTACAGAATCCACTAGAAAGTTGTATTATCAGTAACCAATTTCACAGCCTGTGCTACTTTAAACCAAGGGTAGCTTGGCAACCAGCACTGAGGTTCATGTTCATCCTTTTTATCAGAATCATCTTTTATTTCTCTACATAATGCCTTGGTCATATTTTTAGCTAAGGATGAGTTAGTGGTCTTATAAACAATCTCACTTCTGATGCTAACTGCGCTAATGGTGGCAGTTAGGCAATTCAGTTGCTAAACAATGCTCTCAAATTTACATTTTAGGAACAGGATATAATAAACCGACAACACTGAATGGGGATATGCATCACAGCCACAGGCTCAGCATAGGGTCCAGAGAGGCCAGGTGCAAACTCCCAATTGTCCTCTCTCTGCAAGGGCCCTGTCAAGATCCCTGTGTGTTGTCACTTTGCACAAATCACAAAACCCTTAGAAGCCAGGGAGCACAAACTAGAGTCTTAGTTGGGGTTTCTTATATCTTTGTGCATATCCTTTCTATGGTCAGCACCAAATCCCAATGGCTTTCACTGATCTCTCTGCTGATATGACCAGGAAAAGATGGTCTTTGTTCCTGTTAACAGGAAATAGTGGGAATGACTATGTAACCCAGGGCTACACTCCAACTCAGTAAGTCACCACTTTTCATTCCTTTTGCCACTATGCCTCGTAGAGTGCCGCTGCCAACAGCACTCTTGGAGGTTGATGCGTAGAGTGCAAGTAACTACCTCAAAGTGCATTGACTTTCTAACATTGCAGAGGTTTGCTTGGTGCATTCTTCATAAATGGAAACTCCCTGTAGAAAGGCATGATATCTGTAACAGTCTCTTTTTTCCTCAAGTATGGTTACTAGGTGTTGGGTGCTGAAATCTCCTTCTGGAGGTGATTTCTAAGTTGTTTCTGTCCTGAACAAAGAATTGCTTGAAACAAGAGTAAATGGTGGCAAAGTTGCACATTTATTAAAGGTAGGAGAAAACCTCTGCAGAGTGAGTTTGGGTCAAGTAAAAATAAGAAAAGAAAAAAAAATAGGTAAACATGAGCTATCATGTAGAGACACAATAGTGAGAGCTTAATGGCTGCTGACTTTTTTATATTTCCCACGCTGGCTTCATGACTAGGTCATCCTATGTAAAACCTCTACTCCTTGCAAGAAGTCCATGTACAGTGCTTTGGGAACTGTTCTGCCCATGTGTCCTGGGATTAACAGTTCCCAGCCTACTTTCCCAGCCAATTATAGCCATGCCCTACCTTCCTGCCTCGTTACCTTCTATACAGCCTGGGCAAGAAAATTTCATAGACCCACAGCAGTTCTTCTACCATTATAATACGAGTCCACCTTTGAATCTAGACGTTTGAGAGGATGACTAGGCACAACCAGAGCCTCAGGAGCTATTGGTGGGGTCCTGGGCGTAGGTCTTTCTTCCCGCTTACTACTCTTTTTTTTTTGGTGCATTAAAGGGGATTTAAGAGGGTCAGTCTCTCTCTTTTCCCACCCCAAATCCCTTAGGCTGTAGGGACATCCCCCATGGTCCTTCTTCAGTGATGTCAAAGGCTATAGTATCTTCATTAAAATATTTTTGAAGCCAAGTGTGGTAGTGCATGCCTGTAATCTCAGTATCTTGGAAGCTGAGGCAGAAGGCCAACTTGGGCTGTGTACTGAATTCAAGGCCAGCCTGAGCTACATAGCAAGACCTGTCTCAGAAAATCTAAATGCATACACATACACACACACACACACACACACACACACACACACACACTGTGAAAACAAGATTCATGTTGCAGTGTTTGTTTTGGGAACTGTGATCTTAAGTCTTCTGTGATAGATTGTTCTTGCATTTAACCACATCCAGTTTGAACAGCAGTTGCTGCACAGTATTTCTCTCAAGTGTCATCTTCTGCTCATGTTATTTCAGAGCAGTTGCCTTGCTCCCCTCTGGAGCTATTTTTACGCCACATTTTCTGTTCTGTGTGTTTCCTGTGCAAAGATAGAGTAGACTCACTAAAAGGAAACTCAGGTAATTTTGCTGTTGTATCTGTCACATGGGTACATTAGACTGTTAATAAAAAGATGAGTCTTAAAATTCTCACGTATTAGTTCTTACATCCTTGGATCTAAAGTGAAATATTTAGGATGATTGAACAGAGTAACAAAAAAGAAAATGATAGGAAAACTGCAAATAATAGGAAAAATTCAAACTTCAAAATTTCAAATTAGGAAAACTACATACATATATACATACATATATGTATATACATACTGTATATGTTTATATATATATTAGAGCTAGGCACAATTGGTATGTGGCTAAATTCACAGCTTCTTAGGAGGCTGAGGCAAGAGAAATGCAAGTTTAATATCAGCCTGGGCAACTTGGTGAGATCCTATCTTAAAATGAGCTTGGTATGTAGCTTGGTGACAAAGCACTTTCCTAACATGTGTGAGGTCCTGGGTTCTGTCCCCAGCCCTGTAAAAACAAAAAAAGAGAGAGGAAAAGGAGAAGGATGTTTCCTTCTATAGGAACAGTGATAGTCTAGGACATTTTGGGGAAACTTGTCCATGAGAGCAGTTTTACTAACAGATTAAAAAACAACAACAACAACAAAAAAAAAATACACCCAAAAACGTCTTGTTTCTGCCACCCTCCTGTGTGCTTCTATGGAAAGGCCAGTTTTCTATTTTCCGTTTCAAAAGAAAAAAATGTGCATTACTAGGTATTAACCTACATAGGTGTTAGCCACTATTTTTTGGCTTTTTCCTAGTATTTAATTAGAACCAGCCACAAGTAAGTAGTAAGGTACATTACAGCGTGAGATGCCTTTTCTTCATTATGGGGAAAGCTGTTGACAGACTGGAATGACCTGTGTTTACCTCAAGTTGCATTTAAAATTGTAGTGCCCGTTTCCTGAGATGTGTAAGAGATGTACTTAATCATCATTGATTCTTTGTCTCAAAGGACTGAGAATTCCAATGTTATATAAAGCATTGTTGTTTGCTAATAAATTGGCTTTAGAGAGAAGCTTCTTTTCATGACACTTGGGAATAAGGCTTGTGATTTGTAGTTGTAGGACAAGGTTAAAGTTTCACTTTTGTTAAATTTTTGTCTTTTAGCATAAGTACTACCTCTGATCAAAGGACACCACCTACCTTAGAAGGTTCTAACAAGGACTTAAAGTTTGTTGTAAAGTAGAGTTTAAAGGTGAAAAGAGAAATAAATGAGCCTGAGGCCAGAAAACTGGATATGGATATTCAGTGACTTCCATTTGGCTATAGAAAATTTTAGTGAATTTAATGATTTTCTCAGCTGATTTTAAAGCAACAGAGAGACATTGATGGGTATTTCAGGGAGGGTAATGCATTATGAATATAACTATGTAGCTGGAGTTTACACAACCCTAACCACAGATTCATCTAACTGACCTCCTGTAAAACCTATACAAGAAAGTGTTGTCAGGATCTTTTTCAGAATTGTTAACATATTTTTTCTTATTCAGTTTACACATTACAAGATAGGTTCCTGTAACTTTCAAATACTCCACAGTATTTCGGGGAAGGGGACTTTGTGTCCGTACCTTTCAATGCCCATGGGCATTGAAATGCCCTGAGAACAACCTCAGGTCCTAAATCAGATGTACCAACTAAGAACTGAAAGCCAAAAGGAGAACATTGTGGGGGTGGTGCTGAGGATGGAGCTCAGGATCCTGTGCATGCATGCTAGGCAAATGACTCTCTACCACTAAACCACTAAGCTACAACCCCAGCTCAAGAGCACCTGTAAAAGAACGTGGTGTTTAGAAGACCAGGAGAGCAGGGTAAAGAGGATTTCGTGCTTTGAATCACTTGTGATTGAACATTTTTGTAGTGGATCTCTTGAGCCTCTCTGCTGCATGTGATGCCTTGGATCAGCACAACCTCAAGCAAAATGACCAGCCCATGGATATCCTGCAGGTCATTAATTGTTTGACCACTATTTATGATCGCCTGGAGCAAGAGCACAACAATTTGGTCAATGTCCCTCTCTGTGTGGATATGTGTCTCAACTGGCTGCTGAACGTTTATGATACGTAAGTACGGCAAGTGTTTTTGTAGGCTGTCACTGGAGACCTGGCTTACAGTATGGTAACAGTGTAATTAGCATTAGCAGTGTAATTAGGAGACTGCAGAGATGAGAAGGGGATCTGGGGATGCAAGAGACTAGAGGGAGGTGAAGGGAATGGAAAATAGAAAAGAATCCAGATATGATATCTGTCAATTCCTCATGATGAATTCATTAATTATTTATTGTGAATATGAAATAATAAAAAAGAAACTTAAAAGATCCTTAAAAGATATCTCATTAGACAACTGTAGCATAATAATATACTAACATGAAATAATTACAATTGTAATATCTATGGATTTCTGTAAGTTCCTTTTAAGTGAACATACTTTAAGAAAAATAAGCATATTTTTGAAATTCTTTATTACAGTAACTGCTCACTAGAAGTTAACTAAAGGTAGCCAGAAAAGAGAGAGAAAATAATGATAAATTATCAAAAGTAATTGGCTTGCTAAAAGTAGATTTGCTTATGACTTAAAAGAAACAAACAGTAGGATCCCAGAAGCCGTGGACCTAATACTGCTCCTAAAATAAATCATTTCCACATTTATATGACTTGAAAAATACATGATACATAGGAGGTAACAGCAAGAAGGGAGATTGCTCTGAGGTTGAGGAACAAACAAAACCCTGAGGTCTGAGGTATTGATTTTTCCAGTCTTGGAATGGGTCACATGTAGCCCTTGGATCTTTCCCATTCTTGCATGTGTATGTTGATGTCCTCCGCCCATTTTGGTGCGTTCCCTCTCACTGACCAAGTTCATTGTGCTCTTAGAGAGACACCTGCTACCAGGTCATAATTTTTCTAGCTGATACATAGAATTTTGCAAAGGATTATTAATTGATAAGCCAAACACAATGAATATGAGCCTCTCATGCAGCCAACTCGTCTCCTCAGAGAGTGGAAGATTTTGTTTCTTTTGTTTTGTGTTTTAATAAGGCTTTACAAAGTTTCAGTTTGGCACCTCCATTCATCACTCTCTCTTAGAGAACAGTTGTTTATTTCTTCTAGATTGCACACAGGAAATAGCTCCAGTTCTAATTGAGGAAGGAAGCAGAAGGAATTGGTCTTGATTTTCACTGAATTCTTCTTAGACCTCAGAATTATTACATGCCTCATTTCACACATCAACAAGAACATATTCCCATTTGGAAATCTGGGAAGATTTTACTGAAAGGAGTTGCATATCAACTACTTTGCTTTTTGCCTTTGTTCTAGACTTGTACAACCTCCTTCATTAAAATTTATACATTTTGTTATTTTGATGAAATGTTACTTTTTAAATTTTAGGACCACCTGGTCATTGACTTAATGATAATTACCTACCAAATCCTTAAACATGTTGGATATTTATTATGGATTACATTTGAATTTGTTGTGATGAGGGTTTATATTCAGGTATTGCCTCGAATATATGTTGGCACTAATTTCTTTGCAAATGTCATGTATGTGACTGGATTCACAGTATATAGCTTTCATTCCGCATGCCTGAAAATTAGTTAGAGGTAATCTTAACTCCTTGAAGACCCAAGTTATTATATAAAATTTATTTATTAAAACATTGATTTGCTTTTTCCTGAGAGGGAGAAATACCAGAAAATTATCCAGTAATAAAGAAGGCTTTTGTTAATGCATTAGGGTCCAAGATTTCTTTTTTAACTGAGGGATATTAATAAATTGAACCAGTTGGAAACTGAGCATATTGGGTTTTTAAAAAATTATCCTTGCAGATTTTGATGTTTATGTATTTATTTTGGGGGGTACTGGAATTGAACTCAGGACCTTGTACTTGCTAGGTAGGCACTTAGGCTGCTGAGCTATATCCACAGCCCAATTGAGCATATTGTTAACTAAAAACAAAATACATAACATATAGTTGCTTTGTTATGTGGAGTGCTTTACTTGAGCTTTTATAGATACTGTACAACATTGACACAGCATTAGGTTACTTACAAATTTTTCTTGTAAAGCATTTGTTTGAATGTCCTCTAATAGTGTATGTCCTGATTTTGAACAGAAACATATTTTATGACTCATGTGTCTTGAAGTGATTAATCTTAGTGTAAGGGGCAATTTGATTAAAATCTGAGCGCTGAAGAAAGCCAAGGAATTATTTGTTGGTAATTTTTTGGCATCAATAAATGAAGTAGTTAATTTGCTTTAGTAACCAAAATAGCTTGGTGCATAATGGCAATTCTTCCACTTAGCCAATTAACCAAAAATGGCTCTCCACAGGTGAATGCAAGGATACTTTTTTCCTATTTTATCTAGAGCTACTCTTAACAATTCAGCTAAGGCTTTTAAGAATTGAAAACTGGTAGTACTAATCTAATTGATCAAATTTCCATTACATTCTAGATCATAAACAGATAATAAACTCAGAAAAGTTCTGAACAAGCTGAATGAAACAATGGTTAATAGATTTCATCTATACAGGGCTTTATTTTTCCTTCTGAACTAGAAGTTTTTAACGTCAGTGTTATTGTTTTCTGGTTTGATTCTTCGTAATAGGGGACGAACGGGGAGGATCCGTGTTCTGTCTTTTAAAACTGGCATCATTTCTCTGTGTAAAGCACATTTGGAAGACAAGTACAGATGTAAGTCATTTACATTAACTTTGTATTCTTTTATTGATGTTGGCTAATTACCCTAGTTCTAAACGGGAAATGACATACTGTTCTTATTTGACAGCAGGTTCCCCATGTAAGATGTAGCTTTTAGAGTGTCATAAAATTTGGTTTGTGCCATTCCCTGTCAAACGTTAAATTGCAGGTATTTAAATAGAGTGCGAGGATTAGCTTCTACAGTCCGAGTATTATTTTATGTTACATTGACGGTCTCTGAATAAAACACATGTTCCTAGAGGATAAACTCTGATTCCCTAACCCCTTTGGATAACTCAGAAAAATACATGTGAAGGTTTAATCCCTGCTCTTGCCTCAATGTTGGATTCTTATTTAAAGAAACTATCTGGCATTCATGTTTGAGAAACATTGTTTATTTTATAATCATCTTACTGCAAGTTGTACTGACACATTCAAGTCTGTGATGTGACTAACATTTTATTGTGCGAGAGAAGGATAGCTTGCTATTTCTTAAAGGCTAAATACCACCCTTCTGAATTTCCCTTTGATTAGCCATTGGGTTCTTCTGCTTAAAAAGTGCAAATCTAAATTAAAAGCAAATGCTACAGCAGTGATTAAGATTCAGGGGACCCAGCAAGCATCCATTTTCATTGTAAAGGACTGCACTTGTTTTTTGCCCCTTAAATGCTTGTAAGAAATCTTTTCAGGAGGAACCTTAAACAAACCCAGCTTATCTTGTCTTCTGCTTTTTCCCTAAGGACTAGCCACCCATGGTTGACAAGATGTGTGGAGCTTAAGGACGGGCAGGAGACAAAAAAAGACTAAATTCCTCCAAAGCCACTCTGTGTTCTAGTTTGCATTTTTCTTCTAGGAATAAGCCACAAAATACACAGAGTGGTTTAGCTCATTTTTATGTACTTTCTACTTGAGTTTTCTCATCCTAACAGCCAAAAATAAAAAAAGGAAACAAAACAAAACAAAAAACCAAAATGGAAGGCAGGGTAAGAGGGCTGAGTGGTTTTTGTTAACTCTTTAAAATTACTTTGGGATGAAACTATTTCAGTGGGGCCTCTTCTTCCTTAAGTATTATAGTTACTTATTATAGGATCATTTGTTTGTAAAATGACAGGAATCTTGCAGTGTTGTCCAGTTTGGCCCCAAACTCCTGGCCTCCAGGGTATCAGGGTTCACAGGCACATATCACTGTTCAGGGGTATAAGTTGATTTCTAATCTAACCTTGCCAATGGCACAGTCCTAATGCACCAAAAATACTAAATTAAATCATCAAGGGAGATTTGAGCTCTGTTTCAAGTAATTTCAAAAAAAGAACATGTTTTAAGATTGAGGAAACAAAAATACTTCAAAGTGAGTTACTTGAAAATAATTCATAACTTGACAAAAAATTTTCAAGAGATGGCAAAAAGCTGTGCATGTAGTCTGAAGTTTATTATCGCATCTGAGATATACTGTTAAAATATGTAATTGCCTTGAGTTTATAAATGTGCATATGGGTACATGAAACTTTCTTGGATTTGATTTTGATTGGCAACTTCTAGGTGAAGATGGTATGATTTAAATGATTTTGTTTATAACAATCGAACATCCATTGCTAGTGTTTGATACATTCATGCAGTCAGCTACATATGCTGGGCATTTGCTGTTCTCCGGGGACTGCTGTTCTACTTTGAGACTTCTGGTATACAGTTGAACAAGATAGGGTCCCCGCCCTCAAGGGAATATTATTCTCCAGTCAAAAGGGCAAATATGAATCAGTAACAGTGTGATTATGAGCCAAGTGCAAATGGACACAGCATCCTGTGTGAACCACGTATCTGATGGACTGAAAAGTGATCTTATGACTCCATAGAGATTTTCTCCAATTTGCCACATTTTTAAATTTCTTATATTCAAAAGGAATGGTGCTTTTGGGCTAGTTATATGGCTCCTATTACTAAAACATTCACAATAGTCATATATATATATATATACCAAAAGATTGTGTTTTGTGTTAAGAACAATTCAGGTTTTAGGATTACCTACAAACTTGCATTTCCTAAAGGGCTGTAGTTGATTTATAAGTTGTCATGCTTCATGTAAACGTAGTGATCATTTGGTCTACAAAACTCTGTCCAGACTAATATAAGTTAGAAGTAAACCCTCCTTGTGGCAATATAGGGTACTCCTGAGAACTGAGTTGGTACTAGAAAATCAGTACTAAAATTGAGCTGGATATTAAGCACCATGTGTATCCACTTAGCAGTGTTTTGACTGATCAGTTTTATTTTTCTTTCAGACCTTTTCAAGCAAGTGGCAAGTTCTACAGGATTCTGTGACCAGCGCAGGCTGGGCCTCCTTCTGCATGATTCTATCCAAATCCCAAGACAGTTGGGTGAGGTCGCATCCTTTGGGGGCAGCAACATAGAGCCAAGTGTCAGGAGCTGCTTCCAATTTGTAAGTGATTCACTCTCTTAAGTGTTTGTTTATTGTTTTCTATTTTAAAAGCCTCACTGCACCTCAGTTTCTCACCTTAGCTCTTTCATAGACACTGGTACGGGATCGGGAATCTTAGGAAACTCTGTAGGAAGCAGCTGCTGGCATTGCAGATTCTGGGAGTAAAGACAACACAAAGGCAAGAAAAGACTTGGCCACCTGTAGCAGGAACTGTTCGAAGGTGCTGAGAGGGAAGGGAGTCAGCAGTGATTCAGCCAGGCAGGAAATAAATCTTAGGTCATGGAAATCCATTGTAAATAAGAAAATGACCTTTATAGAGGAGACTCTAACTCCCATCCTCAATTACATTATTATGGTCTCCTTTATAAAGGCTGTCGGTAAACAGTTAACATAATTGTCTTTTTTTTTTTTTTTTTGGCTTGAGCTGGGTACGGTGATGCATTTCTGTAATACAAGCATTCTGAGTGGGATGCTGAGGCAGTGGCTTTGCAAGTTGCCTGAATAAACTAATCACTTAGTGAGACTCTGAGAGAGAGAGAGAGAGAGAGAGAGAGAGAGAGAGAGAGAGAGAGAGACAGACAGACACAGACACAGACACAGACAGACAGACAAAGACAAAGCCAGAAAGAAAGAAAGAAAGAAAGACTTTTTATTGCTCCAACATTTCCTTACTGTTCTAAAGCCTTAGAATAGTAGGGAATGGTGGCTCGGTATAGTCTTTTTTTGAGAAGTGGGAATCAGTGGTGGCAATTGGACCTACAATCCTGTGGATGTTAGGCAAGCATCCAGCCACTGAGCTACCTACCCAGCCCATCCCACAGTCTTAAAATAAAATATGAAGTTGATACTCTTTGTCACTGTCACTGGATCACTCCTGCCCATTGTCTTCTCTCTCTCCTATTTTTTTTTCTGTACCATAATTCATGCCCCAGAAGCACCCTATTCCTCCCAGTACCTGTGCATGACCATTGATAGGCATTTAGAGTGCTTGCGTTTTTAGTAAGGTGTAGGCATTGGTACAGTGAACATCTTCATGCATTTAGCTCTTTTTTTTGAAGGTTTTTTTTCCCCTCAAGATAAATTCTCCAGGAATATGATTATCAGACCAATTGATATAAATATTTTTGTGGCTTTTGATACATATTACCAGGTGGCTTTTCTATACAAGTTGTTTCTAATTGTAGTGCTACCAGCATTAAAGGAGCAGGGTATTTTGCAGGACCACATTATTCACAGTGTTTTTATTTTTTCTAAAGGCTGTGAGTTTTTTTTTAAATTAAAAGTTTCTCAATCCATGGTAACCCCATTAACAATGGCTGACTTGAACAAAATGGAACTACCTGTAGCGGCAACTGGGTTAAACCCAAGGTTTTCTTTTTCTTTTCCTTTTCCTTTTTTTTAAACAATAAACTAAGATGAAGCTATAACTACTTTGTAGGCAGAGGCCTGTGAATGTTTAAATATTTAAAACACTTTGAGTACTTAATAGTTAATTGGGCAAATTGACTGCACACAAAATAAGCCTACTTATACAGAGTAGAATATATGGTTTGGGTTGTTTTGCCAAAATGATGGCAAATTCGCTGTAAATGTGAAATAGATGTGGACTATAAGAGCATTTCCACTTCATACCCAATCTTCCAAAAAGGTGAATAGATTATTAATATCTAGTTTTTTTTACATGTTGCAAGAATAATATTTCTACTCTACAATGTAGATACAAATAACTTTCATATAGTAAATCCTAATGACCACAAGTAATATAGATTGATTCTGTTTTAAAAATACAATTATACATTAACATGCAGCAGTGTGAGGTACGTTTTCCTAACCTTTGTCATCTTTTTTGTCAAGATCCAGTTACTTTGTGAGTTCCAGTTGGGGAACATATCCACATTAATATGTACAAATCTGTGTATGTATGTGTGTGTGTGTGTGTCATGTCTTGAGTTGAGGCTAAGAATCACAGCACTAACCTGCTGGCAGGTGTCTGTTCAGTAATGGTCCCTGCTACAGAGAAAACTGGGCTATATTCTGAGCAGGACTTTGCATCCTGTCCTCCCATTGAACTGACTCATCAGGTAACCACTGCCACCCTCCCCTCTGTCCTTAGATTTGGATTTCAGGATAATAGGCTGCTGAGCAAAACCTCTGCTTTCCTTGGTGTTGCCCCTCATAAGAGGAGACCAGTCCATTCCACCTCTGTTTATTGTTTCTTTTTTAAAAAATGATTTTGAGGGTGCTGGGGATTGAACCTAGGGCCTTCTTCACATTTAGCTACATCCCTAGCCCCTTTGTATTTTTCTTTGTGAGACAGGGTCTCCCTAAGTTTCCCAGTTGTCCAGGCTGCCTCAGGCTTGTAAGAGTACTGGGAGTACAGACATGTGCTCTCATTGTCACATCACTTTACTGGGACACCTCCTTTCTTGCCTAACTCCACATTTCATGCTGAATTACTTCCTGTCTTTGCAATAGCAACCCTGTCTCCTGAGTGCCAAGGCTTGGAACTCAGTCAATCCTTGCATATTCATGGAAGGCTTCCTGGCCAACCAGTCTCTGAGTTTTTGGAAACATCTTTTGTGAGTCTGGGGAGAAATCAGTCAAGAGATGACAGTGGAACAGTAGAAACAGGTGGCTTTTTATTTGCTTGCTATTTCATATTTTTTGAACTGTCTTCTTGAACAGTTTATAATTAGAAACTAGTTAAGTGCTATCCCACAAAGAAACTTTTTCTTTTGAGAGGTTGAACCCAAGGCATTTGCACTACCCATCCACTGCCCATCTTATTTTTTGTTTTGAGATGGGGTTCTTCCTAAGTTACAAGGTTACCTAAGCTGGAATTTGAAATCCTCCTGCCTCAGCTTCCCAGAGGGGCAGGATTATAGGTGTGTGCCACCAGGTCTTGCTAAGAAACAGCTTTCCATTGTCACTCTTATGGTTTTTTCAGGCCTTCTAATCACATGTGCACCATTTTCCAGTGAGCCTCTGAGATGCCATGTTCCATTCTGTTTCATTGGTTTATTACCCTCTTCTATGGTTTGAATGGGAAAGAATTTAATATATGACACCCTCCTTAAAAACCTCTAGCTTCTTTTCATTAGGCACTAAACAAATCGTATTTTTTTCTGTGTAGCCCTTGAACTTTTCCTAATGTGCTTCTATAGCCCCTGCTTTGAAATGCTCCTTTTGCTGTCTTGAAACAGCTGCTCAATTTACCATGATTATGAAGCATACTGTTACTCCTAACAAAACTTTTCCTTCACACACACACACACACACACACACACACACACACACACACACAAATTTACTCATGTGATCCTCACCAATCCTTGGAGGATAAACAGAACAGGCATGCTTTGGGAGTTTTTGTTTTTATTGTTGTTTAAACAATGATCTATATCCTGTATTTTAGCTGGTGGAAGAGTGATTTGTAATCCATTATTCTTACTCTGACATTTGTCCTTTCATTCCCAAATATGTAGATTTCTGATCCATCTGTTCTCCAGCCACCCCAAAGTGAAAAAATAGCTATTTCTCTTTGCCCTGCATAGAATGAGAGATAGGCCATATCTACACAGGGGACAGAGGACAAACAAGCTGAAGAGGAGAGTAGGTTTTTAATATTGGCAATTTGGATGTTTATAACAGGATGGGAGGGTCATATTACTTAGATTTAGATTTAGGAAGCCTCAAAGTTTATAGCAGTTACTAATCAGATTGAATGGCTCCATTATGAATGCTTCCTTTAGAATCCACATCCTGGCCCTGGCTTGCTTTTCCTCAGGCAGGTGCTCCTCTGAGTAGGTCACCTTGCCTTTCATTATGCGAGGAGCATGAACATACAATGTTTGCTGTAGGGAAAGATAACAGCAGTGCAAATGCCCTCTGCCCTCTGTTTGAAGTTGGGAATGCAACCCAGTGGCCTGTTTAGCAGGCTTCCTTGCTCAAAAGCTGCTAATTCTACCAGCCCAAAGAACCAGCAGTGAAGTACCTGTTTCTGTGATGCATTTGCTCCTTGCTTGGTGCAAGTTGACTTTGGATCGTCATCCTTTTATGTCCTTTGTTTTTGTCACCAGCTGGAAAACTTACTTTTCTTTCAAGTTAGTACAGTCAGAAAGGCCTTAAGTCTTCTGATTCAGACAAAGGCCCAGGGAGCGGGTAGGGAAGGAGGTACATTTTCTTTTGCCACGTTCTCTGCTCTCCAGATGGTCTTTTAAACATCTCTGCACCCTGTGGCCCTTTCCAGTAATCACTGACAAAGAGAAAGAGTAATCACCCACCAGCTCTAAATATTTTTGTCTAGTTAAAACTCATTTTTTGGAGGAAAGACTCCAAGGAGTCTCATGGACTGTGACTAGATAGAAAATGGTTTCCTTTTAAAAAAGTTTTTGTTTTTTGTCCTTTTTGAGGCAGTTTCCCTAAAAAGTTCAGGCTGGCCTTGAACTCATTTTGTAGCCCAGACTGGCCTGAAATTTGCAGTTATCATCTTGCTTCAGCCTTCCGAGAGTCCTAGGATCATAGGCATGCACCAGTATGCCCAGCTAAACATGATTTTTAAATACTGATTTTTTTACACTGTTCTCTTGCTATTTTTTAAAAGCTTAAGTTGGCATTGTCTTCCAGTGTTAAAGGCTTCCCTTACCTCTGTTCAATTAGGTGTAATTCATACTGTTTTAATTTCTGACATAATCTCATGAGCAAATGAGCTCAGATTTAAAATTCTTAAAAGCACATTTATTGTAACGAATTGTCATGCATTAATATTGAAATTTTCAATAATATTGACTTGTGTTGTATAAAAAATAGGTCTTTAATTATAGAGTTAGATCAGGACTTCAAGTCATTATTGGTACATTTTAGAGATACACAATGATAGCATTCATCATAAGGGTTTTCCTGTCCCCTCCTTTAACCTCTCTTCTGTTTATTTACAAAAGCTTTGTTTCCATGTTTTCCAGTTTTTTATTGTTCTTTCTTTTCTTTCCCCCACCTCACTC